TCCCTCCCCCGCCATACCCTACAGCCCCCCCTCCCCCGCGACACACGCCCTCTGTGGATCGGTGACTCTTTCCTCTCCTTGTTGCAGGTCAAGATCTGGTTCCAGAACAAACGCTCCAAGTACAAGAAGATCATGAAGCAGGGCCCCAGCGTTCAGGAAGGGGAACCCCTCCACAGCTCCTCCTCCTTGTCCCCCTGCTCACCCAGCCTGCCCCCGCTCTGGGACGTGTCCATGGCGGGCAAAGTAGCCCCGCTCCCTCCCAACAGCTACTCCTCTCCTTGTTGCAGGTCAAGATCTGGTTCCAGAACAAACGCTCCAAGTACAAGAAGATCATGAAGCAGGGCCCCAGCGTTCAGGAAGGGGAACCCCTCCACAGCTCCTCCTCCTTGTCCCCCTGCTCACCCAGCCTGCCCCCGCTCTGGGACGTGTCCATGGCGGGCAAAGTAGCCCCGCTCCCTCCCAACAGCTACATCAACAGTTTTGGACCTTGGTATCAACCACACCATCAAGACGCCATGCCAAGGCCGCATCCGATGTGACAGCGGGCTCTGCCTTAATTCCTCCTCACTCACCCACCCACCCCCGCAGAAAAAGACACGCAAGCCCTCAGCTCCTTGGGGAATGTATGAAAGCATCATGCCTCCGGGAGTTCCGCCGGTCGCACGGGAAAAGTCTCCGGGTCCTCAGCGGACAAGGTGGAAGGCCGAGAAAGGAACTCCTGTGAGGAACTGAGGCAGACGCTCGCCCAGAGCAGAGGAGGGCAAAGGCACTGATGTTATCCCGGCCAGGGAGGAAGAAAGGCTGGAGCTCCCCTCCTCTGCATGTATGAAAGCATCATGCCTCCGGGAGTTCCGCCGGTCGCACGGGAAAAGTCTCCGGGTCCTCAGCGGACAAGGTGGAAGGCCGAGAAAGGAACTCCTGTGAGGAACTGAGGCAGACGCTCGCCCAGAGCAGAGGAGGGCAAAGGCACTGATGTTATCCCGGCCAGGGAGGAAGAAAGGCTGGAGCTCCCCTCCTCTGCAGGGGTAA